CCCTCGGCTGATCTGCCTTGTGGGTGTTGCTACTTCCGCGTCGGCCCATAGAGGTCTCTCGCAGGGTTCGCGAGGATAACCGCGCTTCGAATGCAGCGGTCTGTTGCGGTGAAGGAACCTTCTCCAGGGTGGCCGCGCGAGGGCGCAAAGATGAGTGCCTTTCGCGCTAGCGCGAATCGAATTTAGGTGATCCGTAGGCCCTTCAGAGGTGGGGATCTAGCGCTCGTTCAGTTGTCTCGGCCTAGTAGGCGTTACTTCGTCTTGGCCAGTCCATCCATCCCTCTCGCTGTCTCTCTAGCGCTGTTCAAATAGCCTGCCCGCTACCCGAGGCACCTAAACAGATGTCCGCCCGCGTTGCTGTGGTGCTGGCCCTGGGCGGCGCAGTCGGCGTGCGCGCAGAGGGAGAAGCCTACCTGACGGAGCTTGCGGAGGAGGTGCTCTCCTGGACCCAGGAGGTCTTGCCCATGCCGTGGGACGTTCCGCGGGCCTGCCGTAATTCGGAGGGGAGGGTTCGCAAGGGCACTGCCACCGACAGCGGACCATGCTCTGTCGACGTTTGTTGTTGTTGTTGTTGTTGTTGTTGTTGTTGTTGTTGTTGTTGTTGTTGTTGTTGTTGTTTTTTTGTTGTTGTTGTTTTTTCTTCTTTCTTTTTATATAAATATTTATACACACAAAAAATGCTCTGTCGACGTTTACCCAGTCTTGTCGGAGTCTGCAGGCCCGGGGCCCGCTAGTCTTCCTCCCCAGGGATGCGCTCGGCGGCTGGGGGGCCCCCACGCCCCGGGTGGAGGTTATCCCCAGATGGGGCTGGGGAACGCACCCAGCTGGAGGAGGAGGAGGAGGAGGAGGAGGAGGAGGAGGAGGAGGAGGAGGAGGAGGAGGAGGAGGAGGAGAGATGCTGACATTTCTTTCCCGGCGACTGCACAGGGGATGGTTACGCCAGGGTGTGGTCTGCGATCGGCACTGTGGGGGCCTGGGGGGCACGACGCTGTCCTCGTCGGGCCTCCACGGGGCGCGGCGGAGAGCTCCGTCGAGGTCCTCGCCCGTCCCCCATGGTGCCCTCCAGGGTGCCAGTTGCAAACCACACCCTTGCCAAACCACACCCTTCGGAGTCGCCGACCTTCGACCGTTCAGGGAGCGCTTTTCCTTCAATCCCAACTCTGCCAATGAGATGACGAATCATTCCTCCAATCCCTCGTTTCCTCCAAGGAGCTTGTCAATGAGATGATGAAGCATTTGCACGCATCTTTGGTAGCACGGCAGCAGCCGTGGCTGCAGCGCAACGTTGCCAATACGATCGTACCATACGCGCCCTGTAGTAATTCCGCGTGCACTTTTTTCCTCTTTTCCTCCTTCTCGTCCTCCTCCTCCTCCTTCTCCTCCTCCTCCTCCTCCTCCTCCTCCTCCTCCTCCTCCTCCTCTTGGTCGTCCCAGTGTGACCCACTTGCGCGCCGTTCCCGCGCGTGGTGCCCTTGGCTCCCAGCGCACAAGTACAGCTTCTCACCGGGAACTGACAGCAGCGGCCCAGCGTGCAGCCAAGGCCCAAGTCTTTCTTTTAGCCAGCGTTCATGCACCTGCACCGCTTGGTGTATGGCTTGTCAGTCAGTCAGCCCAACTCTGCCCCTGCCCCGCCCTTCCATCCCCTTGACTCCTGCTTGTGCCGCGGCCCTCCTGCACCCGCCACAGCACTCCAAAAGTGAATTCGCCTGGCGAAGGACCCAACCATATGCAGTTGAGAGTACCGCAATTGTGAATATCTTCTTCGGTGGCGCTCCCTATGGGGCCACGAACCGTATGAGGGGTGTGCCGAAATGCGTGGCAGTGTACACAACACGAACGAAGACGATAGGTCCGAATATAAAAGCTTGAGCGCGTGCGAGTCGGATCGCGAGCGAGTCTGATTATGAATGAATCTGCGCGCGATTGATTCTATTCGCATGAATGCGTGCATGGATACGCCCAGTGTAAATGTATGTATACGACTGTGAACAGTTTGGGTCTGCGTGACTCTCGGTACTCGTGACTCTGAGCGTCGCCTCTGCAGGGGGCTTCCCTGGGAACCCCGACGGCAGCGCCCGCGCGCCGCGACGCCCATGTCGGCACGCCACACACCTGGTGTGCGGGACGCATGCGGACGGCAGCACTGGGGCCTTCGGTGGAGCTCCCTGTGGGGCCACGAAACGTGTGAGGGGTGTGCCGAAATGGGTGTGCGGGACGCATGCGGACGGCAGCCATGGGGCCTTCGGTGGAGCTCCCTATGGGGCCACGAAACGTGTGAGGGGTGTGCCGAAATGGGTGTGCGGGACGCATGCGGACGGCAGCACTGGGGCCTTCGGTGGAGCTCCCTGTGGGGCCACGAAACGTGTGAGGGGTGTGCCGAAATGGGTGTGCGGGACGCATGCGGACGGCAGCCATGGGGCCTTCGGTGGAGCTCCCTATGGGGCCACGAAACGTGTGAGGGGGTGCCGAAATGGGTGTGCGGGACGCATGCGGACGCAGCAATGCGGGACGCATGCGGACCTGGGGCCTGGAGGCCACGAAACGTGTGAGGGGTGTGCCGAAATGGGTGTGCGGGACGCATGCGGACGGCAGCCATGGGGCCTTCGGTGGAGCTCCCTATGGGGCCACGAAACGTGTGAGGGGTGTGCCGAAATGGGTGTGCGGGACGCATGCGGACGGCAGCACTGGGGCCTTCGGTGGAGCTCCCTGTGGGGCCACGAAACGTGTGAGGGGTGTGCCGAAATGGGTGTGCGGGACGCATGCGGACGGCAGCCATGGGGCCTTCGGTGGAGCTCCCTATGGGGCCACGAAACGTGTGAGGGGTGTGCCGAAATGGGTGTGCGGGACGCATGCGGACGGCAGCACTGGGGCCTTCGGTGGAGCTCCCTGTGGGGCCACGAAACGTGTGAGGGGTGTGCCGAAATGGGTGTGCGGGACGCATGCGGACGGCAGCCATGGGGCCTTCGGTGGAGCTCCCTATGGGGCCACGAAACGTGTGAGGGGTGTGCCGAAATGGGTGTGCGGGACGCATGCGGACGGCAGCCACTGGGGCCTTCGGTGGAGCTCCCTATGGGGCCACGAAACGTGTGAGGGGTGTGCCGAAATGGGTGTGCGGGACGCATGCGGGCGGCAGCACGGGGGCCTTCGGTGGAGCTCCCTGTGGGGCCACGAAACGTGTGAGGGGTGTGCCGAAATGGGTGCGCGGGACGCATGCGGACGGCAGCCATGGGGCCTTCGGTGGAGCTCCCTATGGGGCCACGAAACGTTTGAGGGGTGTGCCGAAATGGGTGTGCGGGACGCATGCGGACGGCAGGAGGAGAGAGGAGGAGAGGAGAGAGGAAGAGAGGAGGTGGGACGCGGGGCGCTGTCTCTTCAAAACGAGGACCCAACACCACAGGATGGTTGGGAAAAAACAGAAAGAGCCGCATCGCAGCCACCGTGGCACGAGGTCCGCACCATGGTTTTGAGGGGTCGCTGCGCGAGATCGATGCCGCTGCAGGTGACGGGCCGTCCACTGCCTGGGCCGATTGGTCTGTCAGTGAAGCCTGACAGGTTCGAGCAAACAGAGGGCCTGTACTGAACACTCGCAGTATTGCTCCTCTGTTTGCCCAAGTCCGCCCGGCTTCAGGGACAGACCAATGATGGTCTTGGTTGCGCGTAGATGGGAATATGCCGATACACGCTAAGTGCTCCGCACTTAGCGTGCATACTGAGTGGCTTGTACTTCGCGCGTGTTGGAGGGCTATTTCACCCGACCCTGCCTCGCGTGTGCGCCCCTGCGCCGTTTAGCGTGTACGCCCCCGCGCTGTTTAGCGTGCCAACGGCTTCGGTTTCGCAGGGCCCCAAATCACACACACACGCTACGAATAGGACCACGGCCGTGTCACTCCCCTGTTTGCTCAAGTCCGCCAGGCTTGATAGACAGACCAATTAGCCCGGGCAGTGGACCGCCCGTCACCTGAAGCGGCATCGATCCATCGCAGCGACCTCTCATTTGCTGTAAACCACAACTCGTAAATCCCTCCTAGAAATCAAGCGCAAGTCTTCCCCGCGACGTGACTGCGCTCCAAGACCCCAAACTCTCGAAAATTCGCGTGGAAACTGGCGACCTCAAACACAAAATATTTGACCCGCGGGCCGCGTTTCGTGCGTCGATCGACGTCAAACACGTGCGCTTTTGGTTTCGAGGAGGGTTGTAGGGCAAGGATACATCCCGTTCCAGGGCGTTCTGGAACGCTCTGAGAAGGCCGTGGGGCCCGAGACATCGCCCAGAGCCGCCAGATCTCAGAGATTCGGAATTTATCATCACTCGATTTTATCCTCGTCCTGGCCTCGTCTTGCCGATGCTTGCGTCGCGCCGCCGTGCGTTAGCGGGCGAAGAACGGTGTTTCAAAAACTCTTCCACGATCGGGGGCGCCCGTCCCCAGGGTTGCCAGACTGTTTGCTGGGACGGGCGCCCCCGAACGCGGAGCAGTTTATGTCAGTCCGTCATTCGCCCGTCCAGTGCACATTGGCGCAGCTGGTCCAGTTCGGCTGTGACTCCATGCCGATGCAGCCTGCTGCGGCGCACATGGCGGCTCGATCTGGTTTCTCGTTTTCTTTGTTTTTGTTTTGCTGGTCCTGCCCTCCTGCTCGGGGGTCCTCCCCGCTCGGCGCCTGGGCGCAGACAAGGTCCCTCGACAATGCAACATAACACGGGCAGGCTGAGAAAGTGTCTGATTCACTCTGTCCAGCCCTGGCTGGTGTCGTCCTGCTTTTTCAGCTCTGGCGGTCTCACCCCAACGCATGGGCGCGTGGGGGGGGGGGCCCTGCCCCTCCTCGCCCGGCGAGAGAAGCGCGCAGAACAGGCTGCGCAGCAGCCTGTGCCCAGATGTCCAGCTGCCTGCGTTGGTTTCCGCCGCCGTGTCAGCGCAGCTTCCCCTGCGGCGATGCCTCGAGCACCGCCCACGGGGCCGCAGCACGTCACACCACCTGGGCCCTCTTGGAACCGTCTTGAGCCCCCTGTGGGCCCATCTTTGGGCCTTTTGGGACCATCTTGGGGCCCTCTCGCGAGCCTCTCGGGCCGTCTTGAGGCTCTCTCGGGCCGTCCGAGCCGTCTGGGGCCTCTCTCTGCCGTCTGGGGCTATCCTGGTGTTGCCTTGAGGCCCTCTCAGGCTTGCACAGCACGTTGCGGCAGGAAGCCGCCCAGGTAATTCGGCTTTCACGAAGCATCTGCAGAAGAACGCAGTGCGTAGTCTTCTTCTTCTTCTTCTTCTTCTTCCCTCACGCTCGTCCCGAGATCGGCTTGAACCGCGCTTTCTGGGGGTTGCTCGTCCTTATCCTGCCGTTCCAATGAGTACAAGGTGCGCGTTCGAGGCTCTTGTGGCCCCTGCGCAGGCCTCCCAAGGGCAGTCTCCCCGCTTGCCGGCAGAGATCGGCAGACGTCTGCGGACAAACCGAATTATTCCAAATGGAGGGTTTGAGGTCGGATGATCATAACGTTTGCAATTGAGTCGGCCAAGTAGCGGAGCCACGTGGGCCACGATCAAGGCTGCGCACCGAGTAAGCCCATTAGAACCACCTTCAGATTTGTACGGGTCTTGGGGGTAAGTAGTTTACCCGTTCTCATGGTGCTAGTAACACGTGTGAGGGCGTCCAAGAACGCGTCTCCAGGTTGTCTTCAACATGCCGACGAACAGGGATGTGGGCTCCGTCATCGATCACGACCTCCGCGAGATGTACGAGACAGAGGTGTATCCCAAGCCTCCTAACGGAGCTCTTGAGACTCAGCGTGAGTTGGACGGCTTCCCGCCTAATGTCGCGATTGGTAGAGCGCTGATCAAGGAGAGCAAGAGGCCCGCCCATCCGCCCGCGTTCTATCGTGGGACGGGAGACGGATGCGAAGAGGTCAGGCACCTCAACGGTATGGTGAATCCGTCTGGACATACCACGTGCTGGGGCTGGGAGAAGGTCAGGTATGGCGCCATGACGACTTGGCTGAACTACTGGGCTTCGCGTAACAGCGATAAGATCGTCGTCTTCCATGCTGCTGGCACGATGCTGTATGCTGGCTGCGATGAGAACACAATCATGTACAAGTACAATGAGATCGTCAGTAATAGCGTTGGCAGTCCGACGGTTGTCTTGGCTGCTGAGGTCAGCCCGCCGCAAGATGAGATGTCGTGGCGGTACGACATTTCCAGTGACGCCGTGGCAGCCAGGACTGCGTTCCTGGCGAGTGTCGCGGGCGCCGACTTGACAACTTATGCCGACTGCAACGCAACTGTCGGGTACTGTGACTCTCCGCCCAAGTATCGGTACGCGAGCTCAGCCTTCATCATGGGCCCTGCTGGGGATGTCGCCGAGATGTTATCCGAGATGCCCTACTGGTCCAACTCGGAGAACCGCCTGGTCAACGAGTACTTCCTCTCGAACACCGATAAGGTGGCTCTCGACTACTCGGGCATCCTTGTGCTGTCCCTCAACAACATGAAGCTGGACGCGAACATTCCCGTCACGGTGGTGGACAACGCGGGCGCTCTGAGGAGGAAAAACTGCATAAACACACATTCACCGAGCGCGTTCCACTACTCGCAAAGTGCCTACTCGCAAAAGGTCCTAAAAACAAACGTCTGTCTCGATGTAATGGATCGCAGATACCCGTCGGCGGATCTGGGCCCTTTGCGAGTAGTGACTTTGCGAGTAGTGGAACGCTCTTGCCTCTAAATGTTTGGAGATCCGCGCAGACTTCTAGGATCTGCGCCATGCACCCCTCCCTGGCGTGAAGAGGCGCCGCCAGATGGCCCCATCGGGAGCCTTGAGACGGGGGTCTGTGCAAACGGGGTCGGCCAGGGTGCTGGATTTTGCAGGATCCTGCAGAGCCAGGGGTGCACTGACCTGGGTTATCGCGCAGGATCCTGCAGGATCCTTCAGGATCCTGCAGGGCCAGACTGACCCGGGCTTGCACCGACCCGGGTCAGTAGGTCCTCGCACTGACCCGGGTCAGTAGATCCCCGAGCCCAGCGTCGACCCACCTCCGCGCGAGCCTCCCAGAGCCTGTGCTTGCGCCTCTTCTCCTTCTTCCCCCCAGGCGCGAAGTCCTTCTCGAACAAGGCGACCGGCACCAGCGTGTGCTTCGTGCACGGCGCCGGCAACTCGCACGATGCCCTCAAGGTTCGTCGGCGTGTGCCAAGTCCATACGCAGTAAGTCCGTACGGAGCGCTCGGTCTCCATCTCGGCTTGTGCCGTCTGGACTTCGCCTCTCCTACCAGGAGGCGAGGTCCATACGGAGTTGGTGCACACGGAGTGCTCGGTCTCCGTCCGGGCGTACTCCGTCTGGACTTGCCCCTCTCCCGAGCTCGGTGGCTCAGAGATGTGGTCCCGAGGCATGGGGTCCTGAGGACACGAAGGGATCCAAGGGCGGACCTCGGATACGAATACGAAGGGATCCTACGGATACGAAGGGAACGAAGGGATCCAGCGTAGGGGGGTCCTGCGTAGGGGGGTCCTGCGCAGGGGTCCTGCGTAAGGGGGGGGGGTTTCTAAGGATACGAAGGGATCCTAAGGATGCGAAGGATACGAAGGGATCCGAGGCACCTCGCGCTCGGGACACCACCCCTCGGGGCCCCCACCTCTGAGCCACAGCGAGGTCCTCGCGCAGCAGCTCACGGCATGAGAGCGCGGGGCGGCAGGGCGCCGGGCAGGGCGCGCGCGGGCTCGTCGCCTTCTCCCGCCGATCGCGCTAAGTCGGTCAAGGATACACGCCCGTTGTGGAAAGTAGGTGTTTTTCCCAGGTCCCAATTTGCTTCAAGCGCCCTCCTATTGCAATAATCCAGGTGCAGTCAAGAACCCTAACAAGGACTCGCGACTTTGCTCAGGGTACCCTTGCGTCCTTGCTCTTCCTTGCTCTTGCGTCCTTGAGGTCTTCGTCGTCCGCCGCCCCAAAAACTCCAACTTCGGCTTCAAGGGTCTTGCGTCCTTACCGCGAGTCCTTATTAGGGTTTTTGATTGTATTCTTGTTGTCTATGATACTCCTTGGCCGTGCCCGAGTCCAAGCTACTTTGCCCGCCTTCCTACTTGATGTTTCCAGCTACTTCGTCCGATTGGTGGGTAATGGTAAGAATTTCTTCTTGAGAATGAGAAGAGGAAGAGGCTCTAACATACACTTTTGGCGCTCCGCGCGGCTTTCTTGGATCGGCGCATGCCCCCCTGCGCGCTCCTCGCGTCAGGGACAGGGGGTCTGGCGTACCCTGGTGAGCGGGCGCCGCGCTGCAGGGGGGAGGTCCGGCGTGGGCACGGGGTGCAGCGGGAGAGCGGCCCTTCTCGGCGTGCTCCCCGCCATTCCCTGGCCCTCCTCCCCGGGCCCTCCCCGCTCCCGTGTCCGCCCGTGCCCCGTCCGCGCGCCCTCCCGGGAAGAGCGCGGTGCTGTCTCACGCGCCGGGTGGGCGAGGCGCGGCGCGCCTCGGGCCTCGCTCGGTCGGACTGCCTCGGGGACACCGTTGGCCTCCGGGGGCGACCGCCGTCCTCGCTGACCAGTCGCGCGACCCGCCTGTGAAAAGGGGGCGCGGGAGAAGGCTGTCGGAGGATGCCTCGTCTCGATGGGGCGGAAGACGGTCCTCCTCGTCGCCCACTGGTCTCCTCCATACCCCCCTTCCTACTCCCCGTTCCTTCTTGCCGCCTCCTTCCTCTTCTTTGCTTCCTCCCTCCTGGCCTGCCTCCTCCCTCCTCCCACCTCCCTTATCCCTCCCCTCCGTTCTACTTTCCTCCTCCTCTCAGCCTCTTCTTCTCCTTCCCTCCCTCTCTTCCCCCTCCTTTTCGCTTCCCTCTCTTCCCTTTCTTCTCTTCCCTTTTGTCCTGCCCTGTGGAACACCTGCAGCCCTCTAGGAACTCTCGGAGCCTCAGGGCCCCTGACCCCCAACCATTCAGAACCCAGCTGACATTCTGGTGTCCGCATCTCCCCCTCGCCCTCCTTCCCCGCTCCCTTTCTGCCTCCTTCCTCTCCTTCCCCCTGCCCGTCCTCCCATCCTCGTCTTCCCGTCCGCCCCTCTCGCCTCCCCGTCCTCTGCCTCCTCCTCTGCCTCCTCTCCCCCTTCATCGCCCCTCCTCTTCATGCTTCATCGTCCTCCTTGGTGCGTGTATCCCCACCAGCCCATCAAGGAACGATGCCCAGGAGAGCTGCCCTTCTCGGGGGAGCGCGGTATCATTTGGTGAGCTCGGGGAGCTTCTGTGGGCCAAATTGTTGATTTTGTGTTCTCCCAATCGTTGTAGAGCCACTTTGGGGAACAACTGGGGGAGGAAGAAACGTGGGAGGACAGGGACGATTCTGATGATGGTGATGATGATGATACTGACGATGATGATGACGATGATGACGATGATGATGATGCTGATGCTGATGATGCTGCTGCTGCTGCTGCTGATGATGATGATGATGATGCTCATGCTGATGATGATGCTGCTGATGCTGATGGCGATGCTCATACTAATGATGCTGCAGACGATGATGATGATGATGATGATGATGATGATGCTGATGCAGATGCTGATGATGACGATGATGGTGGTGATGGTGGTGGTGGTGCTGCTGCTGTTGCAGCTGCTGCTGATCATGATGATGATCTATTGATGGTGCTGCTGCTGTTGCTGCTGATGATGATGACGATGATGCTGCTGATGATGGTGATGATGATAATGATGATGATGCCGATTCTGCTGCTGATGATGATGCTGATGACGGTGATGCTGATGGTGCTGATGGTGCTGATGATGCTGACGATGCTAATAATGCTGATGGTGATGATGCTGATGATTATGATGCTGATGATGATGACGACGATGCCGATGCTGATGATGATGCTGATTATCGGGGTGTTGCTGCTGCTGCTGATGATTATGATGCTGATTATGATGGTGGTGGTGGTGATGATGATGCTGATGATGATAATGATGCGGATGATGCTGATGATGCTGATGATGATGCTGATGTTGATGCTGCAGCTGATGATGCTGATGATGTTTTCAGATGCTGATGATACTGCTGATGATGATGATGACCTTGCTGATGATGATGGCGATGCTGATGATGATGCGGATGATGATGATGATGATGATGATGATGATGATGATGATGATGATGATGATGATGATGATGATGATGATGATGATGATGATTAGATGATGATGGTGGTGGTGGTGGTGGTGGTGGTTGTCGTGGTGGTGTTGATGCTGCTAATGCTGATGATGATGCTGATGCTGATGCGGATGATGACGATGATGAGTATGATGATTGGGATCATGCTGATGCTGATGATGATGCTAATGATGATGATGCTGATGCTGATGACGATGCTGCTGCTGATGATTAGGCTGATGCTGATTCTGATAAAGATTTTGATGATGCCGATGCTGATGGTGATGATGATGAGGGTGACGATGATGATGACGATGCTCATTCCGAATGATGAGGATGATGATTATGATGCTGCTGATGATGGTGGTGATGGTGATGGTACTGACGATGATGATGATTCTGCTGCTGATGATTCTGATGATGATAACGATGGCGAAGGGAGGTGCTGCTTCTGATGATGCTGATGATGAACATGATAATGATCATGATAATGATAATGGTAAGGATAATGATACTGATGATGGTGATGATGCTGCTGCTGATGATGATGATGCTGTTGCTGGTGATGATGATGACGACGATGCTGCTGATGATCATGCTGATGCTGAGGATGATGAGGATGAGGATTATGCTGCTGATGATGATGACGATGATGATGATGATGACGATGGATGATGAGGATGAGGATGAGGATGAGGATGAGGATGAGGATGAGGATGAGGATTGATACTGATGACGATGATGATGATGATGATGATGATGATGATGATGATGATGATGATGATGATGATGATGATGATGATGATGCTGATGCTGATGCTGATGCTGATGCTGATGCTGATGATGATGACGATGATGATGATGGTGATGATGATGGTGATGATGCTGATGCTGATTTTCCAAATAGGCTTGCCGTATAGGAGTCCTAGCTCATCAGATGTATTTGGTCTTTAGGGCCCCCTTTTTCCACTGACACT